TGGCCAAAGTGTAGAACCCGGCATTTGGCCTCATTGAAAGTCATGGAACTGGTCCTGGCCCCTGGATCCAGCCTGTCCAGACCCCTCTGCAGAGCCTCCCGACCCTCCAGCAGATCAACACTCCCACCCAGCTTGGTGTCCTCTGCAAACTGGCTGAGGGTGCCTTCAATCCCCTTGTCCAGATCATTGATAAAGATGTTAAACCTGACTGGCCCCAGTTCTGGGCCCTTTGGAACACCACTCGTGACCGGCTGCCAACTGGATGTACCAGCTTCCTTCGGTTTACCAAGCTTCATTCATAAACAGAGAGCCAGGAGCTTTCCAAAAACATGTCCAGTCTTCTAGTAAAAAGGAAGGAAGCTAAGAGAAGAAACACTTACTGAAAAGTCTCTCTTGGGTGTGAGTTTCTTGGGGAAGTGGTCAAAGGCATAGGGCTTGGTGCAAACAGGGTAACGATTCCGGTGGATCTTGTAGAAGAGATGAGCTGATTTATCAAGGCGGTAATCACAAATATATACATCCTGCTCCTTCACACCTTTTGGCCTCCCTGCAGTTTCAAAACAAAGTACGTAGGAAAAAAAGCTCATCAGGTTCAAGAGGAAACGCGTGGTATGCCAGAACAAGAACATGCCTTACGCGGCGTCACAGAAGCAGGGGGCTGCCAGATGGGATGGCAGGCATTCTTATTTGTCCTCCCTGATACAGAATCATTATAGCGGACACCTTGCTAGTTCCATTTAAGAAGAAAACCTGTATACTCTAATCAAACAGTGCCCAAACCTTTACAAAAACTAGTACCAATTGCCATCACTTTCTCTTTCTTGCCCACCACAATCCCAACCTGCTGCTGTCTCTGGAGTTCTGGCCCTCTTCAACCAGAAACCACTGTCCCGGTGCTAAAGCAATAGTGCTTCCTCAGCTCTAATACCCTGCAAACACTGGCTACTGCCTTTTGACAGTAGGAACTATTTTAGTATACTCCCCAAATTATTAGAAAGGTGTATTATGTTTAATTTCTCATCCCGTTAAGTTTCCTTACCTTTGCAGTAGGTGTATAGGTCAAGAACGCAGCACGTTCCCACCACAGCCTCTAAGGGGATAATTTCATACAATGGCACCCGGAAGAGCTCATTGTGATAAAACTTTCGAGAAGGGGAATGATGTGTTTCATGTGGACGGAAATAATGATGACCAAATGCAAACCGCTCCTCTCTGTTTGAAGGTGTAAAGGTAAGAGAAAGAGAGAAACAGGAGGGGGAAAATAAAAGACTATTTCTATAAGTCCATGATACAACTTTACTTAATGCTCTCCACTTAATTTTGAATTATCTATCTTGCAATGACTGTGATGAAAAGCGAAGTCATATGAATATTACACATTGAACTTTATCCCCTTCAGTAAGTGGAAATACTTCGAGGGTGATTTTTATGAACACAGCAGACTTACTGTGCTGCAATTGAAGGGGCATATGCATTTAATCATTTTACAGTGGCTTAGCAAGTCAGTGATCATTAGCTGAGCCCGTTCAGCTGTCAGTGTGCATTCTCAGCCTATTCCAACAGTGAGGAAAGTGCAGCAACTTGTTTCTCTTATCCCTTGCTTAAACCTCCACCCTTATGTGTTTTTACTTTGCAGTTGTGGAGCACAAGCAGGGAGACAAGTGGGAAAACATCAAGCCTTTGTAACTGAACTGTGTTCAGTCCTGCATTTTTAAGCTATAACAAGATTTCCACAAAATTACTGTGTTTTGATAGGTAGGTATATGGTATGTCTCAAATTCAAAAGATGCCTTGAACATACTTCTCATTTTTCCAGAGTTTTTCAATGCGGAAAATATCAAGTTTCTCTCTGTTGATGTGGGACAGCAGCCGATACGACTGCCGGACAGGGTGTCCATCTGGAGTTCTACGGCTGTCTCTCATCAGGTAAACACAGTCACCTGGCAATAGGCACAAAATACACACCTGTAAAGAACTTTTCATGAGTCCAGCACACCAAAAACAGAGGAGTAAATGGTTTCATTCAAACTAACATGACAGAGCTACTTAATGTTGAATTGTAAGAGTGAGGCAAAACCAATGCAGAACCCACAAAACGGAGGAAAGGTCACATTGATAATTTTCACAAAAGCTTTATAGCAAGAACTAAAGATAACCTGAATTGTACACCCAGACTGAAAAGAGTAACATGTAATGAATCAAGATAAATTATGACAGAGTGCAGGATATGTAACAAGTTTTGATTAGGAAAATGTGTAGAAATTAGTGATAGCTGCAATGTTTAAAGAATAAATCTTTAAGATTTAAGAGAGAAGATACTTAGAGAGATTATTATAAAGAAAATAAATCCCTGACCAAGAAGCCCCAAGCCTTTGATTATTTCAGCAGAATTCAAATAAGATGATAGCTCAAGAAAGGTTATTGGAACTCAGAAAGGGCTGAACAAAATGACACTCCTGACAGATAAAAAAGTCCTTCCCAAGTGCAACCCCTAAACAGGTCCCTAAAGTTCTATTTATTCATTTTGTCCCATGAGAGACTTAACTCTTTAATTTCTCTGCACTGATCTGTGAAATGGCATTAAAAGTACTTTCTCTCTCCCGCTGAGACTTGACTGCCATTCTTACTTGTATACTGCACCTCTCTTTGTGACAATGACTATCACTTGATAGGGTGAAAACACACTGCTCCATTCAATTCAGGGAAACAGCTCTAATCAGTAATGTTCACAAAAGAACCTGAAGAGTCTCAGAAGGAGAGCATTTGTGAAACTCAAAGTATTACTGAAAATACTATTGGATTTAGTATATAGTATTTTAAAAAAAATCAATTCAATCTTTTCTGTTATTTATCTCACAATGAACAAAAATCTGGGAGGCCCCAAGCCATAAAAACTTTAGAAAAACTACCCCAGGTAAGATCAAAGGTGAGAAAGCATAATATTCTAGCTAGAAAAGTAGGCAGTAGCAGGTGCTTAGGAGGAAAATGCAAAGGAATAAGGAAAAGCTTTTCCATGGTATCTCTTTTAGACTTCTTTTAATCTCTGTTTTACGGATTTTGAGAGCTAAAGACTGTAGCTGGACCACTGCGCATAAACAGGTAGGGATTAATCCTTCCTCCAAGAACTGGTTTCATCTTTTTGGAATCATTTATACTCTTGACCTCTCCAACTTCCTGTTTGTTGCAATGCTTTCCAGAGTTTAGCTGTTTCTGTGAAAAAATACTTCCTATTGTTAAATGTTACACACTAATTTCAGTGTTAGCTTCCTAATTTCTACATTGTTGCACTTTCCTACGCCACTCGTGATTTCACAGACTTTATCATATCACCTTCCAAATCATCTGCCTAGACTCTGCTCACAGCAAGGATGTTTCCTATCTGATTATCCTTGCCATCACATCTGTTTTTACAAGTAGTGAGATACTCTTTCTGAGCTGGGATGACATGAATAGCACACAGCATGCAAGAGACAGACACACTGTAAGATTATAGAATGGCACACTGACTTTTTCTATTTTTTCATAACAATTTCTAACATTCAGTTTGCCTTTTTGACTCATGCCAAGCATATTTCTTATGTTTCCATTAAACTGCAGTGACTCCTGGATTTTTTCCCTAAGTACATACTATTTTTGTGAAGTTATGCCTATTTTCCTTCCATGTACGTTACTGTTATTAAATTAATCAGCAGTTCAGTCTCTGTTACTTCCACAGCTTAGGAAAAGATGCTAGGGTACCCCCAAGTACAATGTGGCCCCAGGCTCATGAACACCTCAGTTTTGTTCTCTCTTAGCTTGTAGCCAAATTTAGAATTAAAGTGAAGGATATAGAATTATATTTTCATAAAAATAACTGCATGTATCAATCTTGTATAAGTGCTTCTAAGGACTCATATGCAAAAATAACTTTAAGGTTTTATGTTGTCACCTGTCACTGTAACAGTGGAATACAATATCTAGTGGAAAGTGTCCCTGCTGATGGCAGGGGGGTTGGAACTGGATGATGTTTAAGGTCCCTTCCAACCCAAACCATTCTGTGATTCTATGATTCTATGAAACACAATTTAAAAAAAAATCCTGATTTAAACCAGAGATGACAGAGGCCAAATGGGCTATAACCATGACCCAGCTTTTAAACCTTCTGGTGTGCCAGGACTGCTATTAAACAGATAGGAGCTGTAGTTGTAGGAAGGAGAGATAGTTTTATTTGAGCTTGATTAAGTGAAAAATGGACTGAAGACAGAATGATGTAGGTTTGCACATAAGCTAGCAGAGCGCAAGCTCTTCAAGGATTCAGCGTGTATTTGCTAGTGATTAGCCTGCACTCACCCACTGTATTAGCTCTTCTTACTATCTGAACTAAAGCTGGGATAATAACATCTTCCATTTCACTAAGTTAAGGATTACTGTTAAGGAACCCATCTCCCTAATTTCTTTAAAAGACTCACAGAGAAAAAAAGTAAGGTACATGCTGAGAGCAGCTGCTGGCCCCAAGCAGAATGTAAATAAAACCACTTATTTTTGGCTGTTATTTTAAATTAGTTACTTTCAACTCTTCTTCCCTACCTCTTCAGTAAGAATAAAACAACTCTAGTACTTATTGCACCTGACTAAAAAAGGACCATTCAGAAAGAAATGTACGTGGATGCTCTCTTGCCCTAGGGATCAGGAAGCCTGACTTCAATTCAAGTTTACCCAGACGTTCCTAACTACTGAAATAGCTGCCCCTCTGTCTCAAAAAGGAAGTTAATAGTTTGGTGTTTTCAAGGAAGAAATGTGGCTGCTATTGCTGGTGCATCAGAGATAATGACACATGACAATTTCTGGCTATGTGGGTTTTCCAGGATCCATTTTAACTCCTGTCTATCAACTCACATCTGAGCTAGACCTGCTTGTTCACTCTGCAGGATGTGACGGACTGATTGATCAGATGTATTTGCACGATCTCCTGGTTTTATGCGTCAGGTAATTTTTGCAGAGGAAGCGTGTCTGTAGTATATAACTCAACAGCCTCAAGTAGAATTGTCAATAAATTAAAACCCAAGTCCTCTAACCAGAGACTGAAGGACCCTCACTTATTTAGAGGGATTTGTTCACAGTCAAGTGTGTACACTCACACAGCTGGAAGCTTTTCAGCCTCAAAAACATGAGCTCTCAAGCTTGGAACTGGAAGTCAAACTAATTCAACATACAGACACAACTCGCCAGCAGCGAGGGTGGACCAACTTACAAAGGAAAGCCACAGTCTCGAAAGCACCTTCAGTCTTGATCGCAAGATCAGCCTCTTTCTAATATTGACCATGTAGGAAAAATGTCATAGTCTATGCACAGAGTGACTGTAGAGCTGAAGGTCACTATGGTCTAGGGCTGAAGGTCACTAGGGTCTCTTTTGCCTTGGAATCTGTAAATTACAGGACCTTTTAGAAACCAGAGGGAGTAAAAAACTGTTTCTTCTACTGGCTCCAAGATGCCTTATATACCTGCGCACCTGCATCACAACAATTTATATAGACAGGCGTCGTGACTCAGAACTTTTGGTGGAGAACTTGACACCAGCAATGAATTCACAGATTTCCCCTGTTTTCTACTGTAGCTGTGTATTCCTTTCTAGCACCTTCAAGGCATACACCTTGCTTAATCTATTCCTGGTAGCTGCAGAGGTATTTGGTGCCTGACAGTGGCAGTTTGGTCTCCTTTGTCCTCTGCTGATGAGACATGGAGTTCAGCCACGTAAGGACTAACATTTTTCTAATCAAAGTCATCAAGATCAGATTAGAGTTATATGAGAGAAATACAGTGTGTCGTAACAAAAATTACCTTAATGCTATAAAGGACTGGAAGATGCCACAAAACCCAGCTAAAACATAATCCGTTTTAACAGAAAGCACAGAAACAAGTACCGATACAACCCTAGAGAGTGAATAACTCTCCAGCAATAAACAAGAAATGAGAAAACCAAATGGCTGAACTCTAGACAGGACAGACAATGCAGAGCAACAATAAAAAAGGAAAACTGAATGCAAATTCCAGAATCCTGCAGAGGAGATGAAGAATACACTGTTCTTTGACCTTTTTTTTTTTAATTCTCCACTTTCCTGAAGACTCTCCCATTTCCCTCTAGCAAATATAGCAACTGGTTTTACTCATTCAAGAGCAGTTCTCTTAATAATGATACAGGCTTTTCTAACCCTGTATGTATCTGCAGGATGAAATAAAAAAAAGGTAAATCATAGAATCATAGATTCTCTAATTCTATTAATAATCAGTGAACTGAATTACACAGCTGTGTAGCAGCTGCCTCTGAAAGACTTGGGGTTTTGAAGCAGTGTTCAGAAAGATATACTTCAAGGAACAAACAAGCAGTAAGTTGGATGTTTTAATGACCATTCTACACTAAAGCACTGAAGACTTAACAGCTGCCTTTGCCTTTACTTCTAAATGTTTACTAGAATTTGGCTCAGCGTCTTCTTTCTCTGGCCAGGAGAAGAGCCCTATCTGTGCTAAAGGTAATTAATGTTTCTTCATCAACCACCCTGTGGGAACTCTTACTACGTGTCACTCCCATAATAGCAGAGAGTGCAGCTTTCTACTTGTAAAAAGATAAAAGCATTTCCAACAGGGTGATGCCACAAATCTCTGTACGCTCTTATCTGATGGAAATCACAACAGCCACCAGAGTTAGCACATACCTTGGCGCAGCAGCAGATCGTCCCGTAATAAGCATATATAATAAACACAGCCAGGCTGGGCGTAATGGGGACGAGGAATCATGGGAACCTCCTGGATGGAAAAAGCAAAAAGGAAGGAAATTCTGAGATGCCCACCAGAATTAGTGCAAAAATGGGGCTGATATCTCTTTGGAAATATGCAGAAGTGGATAGAGAAGAATTGACACTTAACGTGATTAAACCTAAACCAAAGAAGCTGCACTATAAAGTGAGCATCCCACACTGGTCTTGCCCAAATATAAATGCAAGAGCTGCTTCAGTTTATAACTGTAGTAATAATGACTTTTTTTTACCCTGTTCACAGATCGAGGTTCGCACTGCTCACACAAGTAGTGTTCCACATCAGAATTCACACCCATACAGTCACAGTGCTGCCAGACCTAGAAAGACAGATACGACCCAATTATCAATCCTGTGATAGATTTTATTTACAAACTGCATTTTCTCAAAAATATTAAGGGAAGCAAGAAAACAAGTTTCCCAAAGGAAATTCAAGATTTTCTTTGAACTATTTCACACGATGTCAGAAAACAGAGGAGATCCCCATGTAACTGTGTAAACGCCCAAAACTGCTGAAATTAATCCCACTTGCCTAAAGACAAGAGTTGCTGGCAATTTCAGAAAAGTGCTAGCTGCTCTATATAGAAATGCAAGTTGCATCTCCTCTGTGAAAACAGAATCTCTCAATTTGTTTGCAGAGGAAATGAGGGTCTGAAGAGGTAATTAATACTAATAGCTACACGGAAACCGCTGGTGAAGTTCTACCGGTTACGGAGAACAGAAAAAGAGCACCAGGCTCCACTTTGTGTTCCCCGCGCCTCACCATGCACTTTTCACACTGGATCATGAGTCCTTCATCTTTGTAAAGGCCACAAATGCAACGGATCACATCCTCGTCCTTCTCATGCCCATTTTCTTTTTCACAGACCGATGTCTCGCTGCTGTCAGCTTCACTCGCTGTTTCTCCCACAATTTCATCAATCTGGGCGGATGCCTCATGGCGAGCACTATAATATGCTTTCCGTAGCCGGCATACATCACGCCCAGTTGGAGATTTTCTGCCATAATATTTCTGAATAGAAATAAAACAAAGAAATAATTTTTTCCAGGTTCCATGCTTTTGGTGAATTCCTCCTGTCTGCACACACTCTTAAAGGCATCCTCACTAAAGCTGCATCCACTGATGGAGTATGCACCTCTCCATTTACTTCCTTATTTTGAATCCATGTGTCTACGACGTTACACTGAAGAACAAGGTACCTCTTCCAAAAGGTACTGAAATCTATTGAGGTTTGCTATTCATGCATGTTCTGGACCTATTTGTCTGACGTAAGGCAACTGAAAAGCACAAAGAGTAAGCTGAAGCACATGAATTGCTATAATGTCTGTCCATCAGAAACAGATTATGACAAGTTTTCTTTCTCTAAAATACTTTTCTTATTACTGTAAGTCAGCAAGAGCATTAAACTAGGGTATATCCCCACTGTCTACGCAACAGCTTTAAGGCCAGAGTCTCACCTCTGCATTCCGGAAGACCTTCAGCATGTCCCCATCAAAAGCTTCCACAGTTTTATAATAACCAGTCAAGATCTGTTTCTCAATTGTGGCAAGGTCCAATGGGTCAGAGATCTTTTCATAATAGTCTGCATTTCTAAAATAGGAACAGATGCACAATGTTATTTTCACTACTATTTCAAAGCTGTGCAAATCCACTATAGAAAACTATGGGTTGCTCTGAGAAGCAAGTACTTACTTTTTCTTTGGGGGCAGGTTCAGGAGAGGAGCTGCAAGAGCCTGCCTGGAGGAATCTGGAACAGGAACATACAGATTAGCAACATTTGAGAGAACGAGAAGAAATGGCCTCAAGTTGCACCAGGGGAGATTTAGATTGGATCTGAGAAAAAATGTATTCACCCAAAAGGTAGTCAAGCAGAACAGGCTGCCCAGGGAGGTGGTGGAGTCACCTTCCCTGGTGGGATTTAAAGGACGTGTAGATGAAGTGCTGAGGGACATGGTTTAGAGGTGGAATTGGCAGTGTTGGGTTTATGGTTGGACTCGGTGATCTTAAAGGTCTTTTCGAACCACTACGATTCTATTCTATGCTTTACTTGAGTAAAACTTAAAAGAGACAAGTAAATAACAACATCCAATCTAGGTTAAAAAAGGCTCTTCTACTATTGAAATGCTTTTACATTTCTAGAAGTTGGCTGCTGTAATCGGACTACATGTATCATAATGGAGGATAGTTTCCTTGCAATTCTGTCAATTGTACCTTTTTGCTGAACTACTGAAAAATCCATTTAAAAGGATAGCAATATCTGCAGATTCTGGTGGCAGAGGAAGGGGTTGAGGATAAAGCAAAGTGATTACTGGTAGCAAGAGAAAGAAAAAAAAAAAAAAGGAAGCTTATTTTATGTCCTGAAATAAACTCATTTCTTTTCCTAGTATTTTCTATTCAGAGTCCATTGTTTCGGAGGCTGAAAAAGTCTCCATGGAGGTTTTTTTAGGAGTGTTACCTTCACCTTTATAGGCTATGATGCTATCACATATTTCCTTGAAGATCTGTGCGAGGCGGGCAGCACGAGCCACTTCAATATTCTCTTCAGCTGTTTTTTTTCGTGTTCTCACAGAGCGGGAGGTCTGAAGAGCTGAAAACTGGGTCATGAAGACATCTGAAAGAGGACAAAAAAGAATTATCTCTAAACAAAAAATTAGTTAAAGATTAAATCACAGCATCTTTTCTGATCTAGCAACTCCACACCAATTATTTAAATTACCAAGTTTTCTAAGCTACTGTAACAGTAAAAGGCTTCAGTTTCACATTCTCAAGTCGGCTCTCACTGCTTATAGCTCATCTAAATGGTTAAGCTGGTTATCAAAGTATTTTATGTTGCTGGAGCAAATACAGCATGTCATTGAATTCACCCAAAATATCCACTTCCCAGCTTCTCATGTACTTGACAGTGGGGACCAAATCCTACGTGGCTTTGAAGATTACAGTCCTACAAATGGAGTGCTATTTTTGGAGCAGGATTAATACATTTTCTCTGATAAGTCATAGTTTCTCCCATTCCCATAACTGACTGCATGTCAAAAAGCTTTGTTCTCTAAAGGCCTGAAATCCAGTGAATTATGAGGATAAATGACAATTTTCAAAGTCAGCGCAACTGTTTCTGATCTAGGGATACAGAAAGCAGAAAACAGCCCTTCTTTGTAAGGGTCCAGTCACTGAAAATGTTAAATAGCATCCTCCTCTGATAAACCACTCTTGATGAAATGTGAGACATGGCAACTTCTACCAGGACTTGAGAGACATCAGGGCTGCTGGAGGAACAAGGCGAATCCAGCAACCAGACAAATGGTTTACATAGTACAAACTTCTCATTCTTAAGAAAATAGCATTAAGTGTTTCAGAGGAAAATGCAGAATCCCATAATACAAAAAATACTTTGAAACAGTGAAAGAACTTCTCTCTTACCCTGCTATGTGAAGATAAGGGCACCTGTACAAACACATACATAGGTATTGTTACCTGTATAGCACTCCCTGTATGTATTACAAAAGGTATATGGATCTTGTAGTAACTCTACATTTGATTTATACACAGAACTTACTTAAACTGTTAATGGTCATACAGGTTCTCAAAGTAATAACCTGAGGAACCTGCGTTGGCCTCACCAGATTTAATGTTGCCGTCATCCCGACAGATTCCATTCCAGCGGTTGTACAGTGATGTGGTGTGGATATTGTCACTGACGTGCTTCACTTCCTCTTGTTTTTGTCGGATCTTTTCCCAGTTTCGTACCAAAAATACATGGTGTTTTAGCACAAAATTCCTACAGAAATTAGAAAAGCATTCAAGAATCACCTTCCGACTGTAAAATTAAGTCTTTAACATGTGGAAAAAGATGAATATTCAGAGGTACACTTCTGATGTCAGAGGAGAGGAATTCCACCCTAGATGGTTAACAGAGAATTAAGAACTGCTTACTCAGCCATTTCATGATGCCCCACCTTAAAGCAAACAAATAATTCCAACATTTGCACAACACTCCATTTCTGAGGAAAAACCCACTGAAATAATTCCTTACCTTTCTCTGTTAGACATGGGCTTCATCTGAAGCTGCGGTGTCAGCCTTGTTGGTGCGTTCACACTTTCACTGGGCTCCTCTGGGATGTGGCCCCTCTGGAAAACAGAAAACATTCTGATAGACAGGAAAAACTGCGCCAAGCACTTAGCAAAGCACTTGAAGTAGTTCCTGAGACAGAACCTGTAGTATTTTCCTGAAGTTTAAAATACACAAATACACAGTTTTTTGGTCTGATGGCACAAACTGGGTTCCTACTAAGCTTTATCCATGAAAAAAGCTGACTTTGCTACTTACTCTCTTCTTTAGTTTGTGCTTTGACTTCCTTTTCTCTTTCGACCGTCCAGGCCTTCTGTGGGTGCTCACAGGCTGATTGCTTTTGCTTGAAAGTCCATTCATTCGCTGACTTTTACCCCCAATTATTCCCCTGCATTTGTCAAAACCACATTTGCACAGTTGCTTTGGGGAGGAAAAAAAAAAAAAAGGAGAAATTATTTTAAATAAAACCTGAAACATTTAGATTATCTCTCAATATCTAAAAGGATATCTCAAAAAGGACCTGTTCTGTCAAATACAACACAATAGGTTCTGCTAATCGACCTTCAAGTTTACAGAACTGTTTGTCCTTGGGGAGTTTTTTCAAGGCCTTGCACTGTGATCCTTACCTGTTTTTCAACATTAAATGAATGAAAATTGTAGTCATAAGTCAATTCAGTACCAGCAGGCATGTCTTTAAGTGCATACAATCCAATCCGGTAAACACCATTAACAGACCTGCAGGGAAAATATAATAAATTATTCCCAATAATTAAAAAGAAAACTGTCCTTGTCCACATAGTGGAAGTGTTAGAGAGAAAGGAAGCAACACTTCTGCTGTGCCCTTGATTACACTTGTTCTTAATTTGTACTGTTCTGTTGTTTATTTCCTACAATAAACTCCGAAAGCCAAAAAAGTGAATACCTTATTTATGAAGAGGAAGAAGTTTTGCTTCAAATAGAGAAGCTACAAACTGTACTGGCTGTCATGGCAGATCTATGTATCGACTGCCAAGATTCAGGCCCTCGCCCTAAATCAAAAGCTTACACTGAACATCACACCTCATCTCACAAAATACACTAAAATTAATTGCCTCTCCAATTCTTTTACTTATTTTTTGTGTTGGATTTAAAACTTGATTACTATTGCTTAAATCCAGTAGAATTATCTGAGAATCACAACCTACTCTGCTCTACTACCACCGCAGCTGATTTCTATGATGACCATCTGCTATTTCACTGTAAGTTATTCATTATAAATTGAGCCAAAGTACTTCCTACTAGTCTTGCACTGGATTTCTACTGATAACATAGTACTGATATGACACAAGGTGTGCTGAAATCAGACTACTTCCCTACTTGAAAAACAGTATTTGAATTGCCAGAATGAAAGAATATATAGACACAGGTTATTTTATGGCATTACCTACACTTCAAAATTTGTAGCAGGCTAACAGTATGACGAACAACAAGGTTGGATTTGCCTTGCCAGAAAACTTAGATTCTGCCTCCAAAATGTCCAACACTTGAAAACATTACATTACTTCTCTTGTGCAATGCAAGCATGATAGTAAATATCATTTGCAGTGTTCAGGTTGATTCCCCTCCCTATTTTTAGATCAGATTCTCTTACATAACCTGGTTATCTATATCTTAGTCACTGGTATACCAGTCTTCCAGTAAACAGAATATTTTTCTTACCATTTCTGCATCTCACAGTTAGGATTACAGCTGTGGTTGATAAAACGAGCCTCATTGCCCATACGATAACTATCTATCACCATTCCACTGTCTAAATTCAGGCAGTAATGATCACTGTGATTATGGTACTGCTCAATCATCCGGTTCCTAGGAAGCAACACAGGAAAGTTATTTGTGATTCCGCTTGTTGCTGCAAAGCAAACAGGGAGTAACATAGTAATAGTGCATTCAAGAATTCTGAGAGAGGGTTTTGAAGTAAAAGCAATTATAATCTTTTATATTTTATAGAACCGTACACCTAGAGATGGAGGAAAACCATTATTATACCTATTTTTGTAAGTCAAGGCCATTGACAGAGTTTGGATTAGAATTTAGAAATTTGCTCTTCTGGAATGCTCCCTTTTGGGTTCTGCAGATTATTTGTATACATTTCATATTGATAACCTGTGTATGGAAGAGAAAATGCAAGTATACATTCTTTGGTGTGTGTATATGTATGCATGTGTACAACAATCAGCCTCTCTTTCATTATCTGGGACTGGACACAATTTCTGGAATTATATTAATGGATGACAGCTACCTCTTTTTAGCAAGGGAGCAAGAGTAACAAAAGTCAGTTGTGTTAGCAGTTATCTCTGTATGAGAAGACTGCATTTTCTTCTGATGGAGCTCTAACAGTAGCAGGTATGTCCCTCCAATCTCAATGATCCTATGATGCTGTGTAGTTAACAAGACTACAATTTCTTTCTCTCATCAGTTATTAATGCTCCCACTGGTTCTTTTCTCTTCAAACCTATCTGCAAAAGCTCATTTCCCTTCCTGCACCACTCTGCCCCTCAATTCTATCCTGCACAGTTCAAATCCTGTGCAGGACTCATAATTCTATTAAATTCACATTCAATTATGGCATTTGGCATTTACAGAGCAGATGTGGCAGATGATGCATTCCAAACACTAATCATTCCTCCCTACTTGACTGAGAAAAACTCGGTTGATCAAAGAAGCTGATTTCTGGTGGCTGTGACCAGAAAAGCATTCAATTGTTCCCCTCTGTTTCTGTCTGAGGATTTCCCAGCAATGATAATAGATGCTAAAGTCATTTATTGAGCCTTTCATGCTAAAGCAGCAAATAAATATTTCTACCTGAATTCTTGCTCACTAACAACTTCTCCCAGATATTCAATGATAAACTGTCCTGCTTTCAGGGGTTCTTTGGTACGAATACCCCATCCTTTCTCCTCAGCCCGGAACCTTTCCAGACACTGCACCCATTCATGCCTCTGTATCCGCTGATTACAACACTGTTCACCACAGGGGCATGTGTTTGGTGAACACTCCGCAAAAATCATCCTAAGATAAAAAACAAAGAAGTTAAAGGAAGGTGAATAGCATACTTTTAGATCTATCACACAAATTAAAAAAAAATCCTCTGTTAAACAAAAGTTTATTAAAGAACTAAAATGCTTCTTGTTTTCAAGGTGTAATTCACACAAAGATTTAAAACCTGGCTCTCACTGCTATTCAAAGAGGAAAACTGAGCTTTTAATAGTATCTTCCTCTGAAGAAAGAGATGGGGGAGCATATGTGCAACAGGGAGTTACCCTGTATGCTCTGTAACAATATTTTTATTACTGAGGCTGCATCCAGCACAACTCTTTTCTTAAGATATTATTAGTTGATGTGAAATAATAAATTGAATGAAATTCTCTTATCATAGTCAGTCAGTCTATTTCTAACCTGTTAAGACAGTCCTCCACGCAGCCCTTTCCATTGTCATCATCTGGTTTCTTACAATTGCAGGTAGTGGCCTCATAGCCAGAAAGAGGCTTGACATCCACATAGACATCTGGAGAAAAAAACAACAAAACAAACCCAAACAGAGAAAAGACTTCTTTCCAGGTGAAAAAAATACAACTACCTATCTACAGTATTTTCATTCCAAATCAAAAAAAGAAGGAGGAAGTGTCTTTGGTAGGATGAAGAACATGACAGAAAGGAGGAGTGTCATGTGAGAATTCCACAGTCAACACATTTTAGTAATAAGATTTTACTTACTAGAACGGATTTTTTTATAAAGTGGGACATCTGGCTTTTTATACAACTAAAAGGAAGAGAAAGAAAATGTTAATACATTGCATAAGTGCATCTGTTATTCAAAAGAATGAGGGAAATTATGTTGTGTATGTACGTAAGTTTTGTAAATATCACTAGAAAATAGGGCTGCGTTCTCTTCTTCAGGCTCAGACTGCATTAGCAAACAGGTCAAAAAAAGTACCTGAATAAGCAGAACTTGGGCTTAATGAGTTAGCTGAGCAGTTTTTGTACCATATTGTTTATTTTTCCCATACCACCTGAATAGAGCAGCATGGATAACAGGTATCACGAAGATAGACTATTCTGAGCAATGCTGTTCTTCTGAATAACAAAAAGAATAATAATTATTTCAATCTACTTTGGAGAAAGTATCTTTGGTGGAATCACCATGTACCAACACTTAAAAAAGTGAAAAGGAAAGATTAAGGTGCTTATAAAAACTGTGACTACAGGTAGGAGCCAAGAGAAATGCAGATTCATCTTCTAATTTGAGAAACTTCCTCTGCAGATGGAGATGACTGGAGGGAAAGGGGCAGCTTAGATCACATTTCATAACTTCATCTATATTCCATCCTTTCAAAAAAGCTTTAAGTAATAATTTCAAATTATTACATTTTTCACACACATTTACTGCATTGATAGTCTTCCCTACAGTAACTTACATGGCAGATAGGCACCGTACACGCGATAGAACCGTTGTACAAACAGAACTACACTGTAAGGGTTTTCAATATGCTAGGTAGATACGGAAAACGTTGAGGAAACAGATAAAAATAATTTATTATTTATGTAATAGTGGATAGGTAAGATAAGCAGATGCAAGTAATCTTTGATACATGACATGAAATTGTCCTTGGCTGAAATGTCAACAACGATCATTACTTTAAGATTACATTTTGGTGGCATTACAAGAGTAGTTGGAGCCACAACCACCTGGGGATTTTTCTTACTCATTTACATGCTGAAGTTACATGTCTGAGAGTGCTTTCTTGCAGTAGAGTTGGGGACAGATTTACTGTCCAGCCTGAAATCCTGTGTTAAATCACTTAGTGGAAACTTCTCAGGGAAAAAATTCTCCTATTTTTAGGATTGCACATATTTAAAGCTCTCTGAAAAGAATGTGACTGTTAAACAGTTTCTCTTCTTTCCTCCGTATGAAAATTTCAGCTTGCAAGTGAAAAATAAATTCCACTCTGCTGGGACTGATCCAAGAAAAATAAGGCCTGAAATTTCTCAGTGCTGTTGGCAGTACATGTGAATTCTCCTGGGGCATGTCTAAAACAAGACCATTGCAGAAAGCAGGCACACTACCAAAATAAAAGTCCACAGCTAAATTAATGACTTTTCAGCAGAAACTGATAGGATTGCTATTTTGCAAGAGATGGAAGAATGGAAATTATTCATATTAAATACATACAAAATCCTTTTTTTCCCCTCATACAGTGGCAGCAACAAGAATACTCATCAATATACAGGATATATAAACACAGCTTTCATGTAAGAATCCTCCTATTTTCTTTCTAAGACTTCTGATCATAATCTTGGCAACCAGTAACTTTTTATTTTGTACCTGATTGTGTTTCCACTGCCAGAGGATGTCATAAGGCAGCTGGAAGTCAATCCTCTTTTGTCTGAGATACTTTCCTGAAACAAAAAGGTTTGTAAGTCGCACACACTCATATTCACACATCCCCAAAGGGAAAAAGGGCTGCTCCCAGGCACCCCGCCGAATTCTGATAGGGCCTCTCGACATCTGAAAGTCAAAAAGGCAGAAGAGCAGAATCCTCCCAGAACATTGTGTTTGTTCGTGGCGAGCACAGGGAAGAGCCCTGCACGACACTATCTTTCGCGTTCTACTCTGTCGTCATACTCAGGTTTAAACCTTTATCAACAGTGAGGAAAGCTGCTGTCTGAGACATGAGATGCCCGGTGAGGTAGGTGGCAGAGAGGAGCTGCCTCCTGCATGGATGACTGATCCTTACAGATGCCATTGAACACCAACTGGTACAGTTAAACTCTTAAAAGCAGCACCAGGAACCCTGCAGGTGTCACCCGGGAGGGGTCAGTGAATGTGAGCTACCAAAGGGACAACAGCAAATAACTGACAACTGAATACAACTGCGTGCCTTACAGTAAAACCTAGTAACTTCTGTGTAGAAATCTCAACGGTGACATTTCCTCCTGAGCACACGTGAATACAATGATTTATCACAGAGAACAAGCATGCATTAAAAAAATCTGCATGCACAATTCACACAAGACAGTAAATCACAATATTGCATTCAAAGAAACCAAATTAGTTTTGAAAATCGTATCCAAGCCTGATCCTATGACCCCTACCAAAGGAGACTTAAGAATGAATTCAGACTTGGCAAACACATTCCTAAATGTTTCGGAAAGACTTCAAGATGATCTGTATTTTCAGCAATAACTGAAACTCATTTTAGACAGGAGTTACTACCTTCATTGTAGATTTAGTCTTTATTCTAAAATTTACTGTCACCCCTAACCTCCTCCCAAAAGAAGGAAACTGACCCATTACATAGATTATCCTAAGTTGGAAGGGACCCATGAGGATCATCACTTTGTTAACATAAGACCTGAGGTCTGACATGAGCGCTAAGTTACTTCAAGTCCAGATTAAAATGTTCTCTTATCATTTTGCTGGAATAGTGTGTCACAGAATCGCAGTGAGAAGAGTGACTAAGGATGAAGTGTTAGTCCCATGTCTGATTTTCCCAGCTTTCCTAAATGTTACAAGTGCTTTTACGCTTCTCCAGCAATAGTCTGGGGTTTCACGTAAAGTCACACACATACCACTGGAAAATAAAAATTGTAATGTTTTCTTTACAATTTACTTTTCATTTTCAATGCTTTATTCACCCATAGCAGGTTCCAGGAAAGAGCTAAATCTGCCGGGAATCTGCTTTCACTTCTATGACCTCAGCAGGCAAAACAAAAGGCTCTTTCAGGTGCCCTGGCACCGTGCCTGGAGTGCAGGGAAGGTCTCTCCAGCCCTTGTCAAGTGGGCACCAGTGCAGTCATCTGGCAGAGTCACAGAACAGCCTCGACTGGAAAAGCCCTCCAAGATCATTGAGTCCAACCATGAACCCAACACTGACCAGTCCCCTATGACTAACCCATGTCCCTCAGCACTGTGTCTACACGACTCTTCAATCCCTCCAGGGATGGGGACTCCACCACTGCCCTGGGCAACCCCTTCCAATGCCTCAGAACCCTTTCAGCAAAGAAGTTCTTCCTCACATCCCATCTCAACTGCCCTGGCCACAACTGGAGCCCATTTCCTCTTGTCCTGTCCCTTGGTCCTTGGTTGAACAGACCCACCCCCACTTCTCTGCACCCTCCTTTCAGGGAGTTGGACAGAGCCACAAGGTCTTCCCTGAGTCCTAAACCTTGTACCTCTGCTTTGTGGTTAAACCACTCTCCAGCTACCTCATACAGAGTAATCGAAGCAGCTTTATCTTCAGTGCAGGAGCTTGTTTGTGTCTGGTAGCACAAACAAATGTGAGGTCAGGGCCTCGTGAAGAGAAAAGAGAACAGGATTGTGGCACTGCAAACTGAACCTGAGTACCTTGACAGATGGTTTCGTCGTGCAACAGAGTTATATGACCCAATTCAAAAAGGAATTAAGAAAGGTGGCATTTTTGAGAATTTAAATTAACACCTTCAGTTCTGAAATCTGTTCTGCAGTTACTGATTCACACAGATCTGTCAAACTCTTCGCCTGCTATTAACTCTCTGGGAAAGTCAAAGCTGTGTCAAAAAAGTTTAGTTAAAGAAGACAAACCAATTATATGTTTGTATTTGATGAGACAAATATTCCTACCAAACAATGTGGAATTTCCCGAACTCCCTTTGCATGACAGTACTTGAAGTAAGAAATCACAGCATTTTAAAAGCTGAAACAATTACTTGAAAAATAAATCAATCTTGACTTGTCCTGGGAAATTACATGAGCTACAAAAATGGGAGATCATGGCCATCCCCTCCAGGCAGTTCAGTCCAGTGGACTGGACTTGTGAACAGCACTCTGCAGCTCCACGAGTTCTAAATGCTCATGCTAGCCTTGGGTTATGGTCAAGAAAAGCCCTAAACTTAATTTCTATTCTACCCGAGACCTCAAAATGGGGATGAAATAAGAACTTATATAACAGCTGATGTTTTCATTCTTCCTCACTTCTATCTATGCTTAAAGACAGACATAATGAAGCGCATGGGGGAATTTATTATTGTACGCTTAGTTTTTGAGATTTAACAAATGGTCTTAATTGGCTATTCTGCTGTAATATTAGTTTGAAAAGCAGACTACTGTACTGCATTTAAGCAAAAGTGTTATGGCAGTTAAAGGAGGTTTTAAACTAAACCGGTGTTTTCTTATGGTAAACAAAAAATGAGAACAAAGCAAAAAAAAAAAGCCTCGAGTACAGCTTTTGCACTGAACACCACAGACAGAAGAGTATGACCTTTGGCAAAGTTCATATGCTGAAAGCCATGGGTAACCTGGCAAGGCGATAAAACAAAAAAACAAGAAAAAAGGGAGAGAGGCAAAGAGACTGTGAAGTCCAAACAGACTCCTTCCATGTCACCTAAGTGCGATACTTATTTCCCAACAACTAAAATACACATGAAGTACCCACCAACATGAATAGGGGCTGGAAACAATCCATGCTCATGTTCTCCAGGAGTGTACTCCAGCTTTTCTTTCTTTAATTGTATGAGGCGGCTCTTTGGACTGTGGACGACAGGAACAACAACAACAAAAAATCAGAATGAAGAACACCTGTCATTTGCAAAAAACATATTTTCTGTTTTAATTAAGGCATGAATGTCTAGAACATCAAGCAAGAGAATAATTATAGAAATGGTAAAAAAAAATGGACTCCCAGATTACTTGCCAAATACATTTATCATACTAATTTCAAAACTCATTATTTCATTTTTCTTCATAACTGCTATTCAGGTAACACCATCAACTTGAAATTAGAATCATGGAATCACAGAATCACAGTGTTTGGAAAAGACCTTTAAGATCATTGAGTCCAACCATAAACCCAACACTGTCAATTCCACCTCTAAACCATGTCCCTCAGCACCTTCTCTACCCATCTTTTAAATCCCACCAGGGAAGGTGACTCCACCACCTCCCTGGGCAGCCTGTTCCAATGCTTCACACCCTTTTGGTGGAGAAGGTTTTCCTCAGATCCAATCTAAACCTCCCTTGGCGCCAACTTGAGGCCATTTCCTCTTGTCCTGTCCCTTGGGCCTTGGTTGAACAGACCCACCCCCACCTCTCTCCACCCTCCTCCAAGGGACTTGCACAGAGCCACAAGGTCTCCCCTCAGCCTCCTTTTCTCCAGGCTCAACACCCCCAGTTCCCTCAGCCACAAGGGAACTCAGCACACTTGTGCTCCAGACCCTTCCCCAGCTCCGTTGCCCTTCTCTGGACACGCTCCAGCACCTCCATGTCCTTCTTGGAGTCAGGGGCCCAACACTGAACCCAGCACTCGAGGTGCAGCCTCACCAGTGCCCAGTGCAGGGGGAAGAGAACTTCCCTGGTCCCACCTTCCAGTAGATCAACACTGCTGCCCAACTTGGTGTAGTCTGCCTACTTACTGAGGGTGCCCTCGATCCCCTTGTCCAGATCATTGATAAAGATATCAAACAGAAATTCCTAGTATGTGATATATAAGTAATAACTAAGATTACAAAAAGAAAAGATCAACAAACCATAACTGATGTTGCTTGCTTAGGTATTTGACATGCTAGTCACATAGTGCCTGATTTCCTAATTTGCTAAGAGCAAACGTTTACATGCTCCAACTTTAGAAGGATGTTCACCAAGAAAAGCAGGAAAAGAACAGAAATCAAAGTTAAAAAAGCAATGAGACGCCCCCTTTACAGAAGAAAAAAATAGGAATATGAAATAAGAATGGTTGTATGTGTCCAACAGATGTCAAACCACCTGGCTCAGTCACCTGTCTTTCTAAACATCTCCTTTTGATTACTGACAACACATGGAAAGAAAAAACTGATGTGGTTATATTCAGTACTGCAACCCTGCAACATTTAGAAGAGACTTCTAAATGTTAAATATACCAAAGATTAAAATTATATTGAAGTCTATTAAAGTTTACTGAAGTTTTTTAAGGGGTTTATTTTAATAGCTGGACATAGAACTGAGAGCTGACTCAATAAAAAATGTGATACTGTTTAACTAGTGAATGCAAAATGCAAAGTAAAAACAAATTCTGAGATACAGATATCAACAACTGAAAATAATTACTGAAGGTCTGAAACAGCACTGATGGACTGCAATAATCTGTGGTTCATACAAGCTTCTGACACTTTCTAGATTTCTGGTACTTATTTCACAAGTATAACAAGTTCCTAAATGTTAGTGAAATAAAATACTGCTGAAACAAGGGCTCTGTTGCACTAAATGCTGTATATACTCTTCATTAAACAACTCTCCTTTTAATAAAGTTATATGGCAAGGCTCTCATTATGATACATTTGCATTTAACTTAATGTGTACAGGTGGACACATAGTTAACCTAATGAAAAAGCAGTAACATTCTCTCATACAGTAAGGGTTACAGGTTTTAAATAATATGACCCTCTGTTTACTGATGGCAGGAATAATTTCATTTGCTTTGGCAAACAGACAGCTCCTTTGCCCACCTGGCAAAAATTATATTCTAGAGAGGATTAAAAAAACCCCACAACCCCCCAAAAAACAAACCAAACAAAAAAACCCCCAAGTCCTAACTCATATCTTCTTTGTGCTGCACTGAATCATCAAGACTTGCAAAGAAAGGCCACAAAGGAATTACTTACAAGACCTGGAAAACAAGTTCTTATCAAGAGGAAAAGGAAAGGTGTTTTGAAAAGGCAAAATGTGAACCTCTGTTTCCAAGAGGCAAGCAAAGCCTTAAACCAAAGGCAGAGAAAAAGGAAAAAACATTCAATAGAAAAGTGACTTAATCCAAGCCAAATGTGCACCCTTTAACGCCCACACATTCAGCGGCAATGAAGCCAACGGAAAAATAAATTATGGTAAATAAACTGCAAGGAAGAAACCAGTATAGAAAGGAAAAGCAAAAGGCAATTATGTAAAAACACAGAATATAACATGAATTTCTTCAGGCACTGCAGACCCACCCGTCTTAGACCTTGTCACAAAGAACGCTGGGGAAAGCACCTATTCTGTTTTCCTTCCAAACACAGCGATGAAGTATTGTTAGAGGCATGTAAAAAATTGTTATGACAAATCAGTAAGCTGAACAAAGGTCATCAAAACTTCAGGGACTTCAGAGAGAAAGGTTGAGATGTCAAAATAAAGCATAGTTATTCATGAAAAAAAGGGAATATACTAAAATAATCAAGTAGAAACAATACATACAGTTTTATAAACATAAATACCATGCAAAAAAAAAAGCCTCATCGATTAAAAAAGGCATCTCTACACTATCAAGAAAAAGTGTACGATAACAGGCCCACATGCTCCCACTAGGACGATAATGAGCTATTTTAGGTCAGGGTTTCTGGGCAGGCAATGCAGGTTCTGGTTTTGTTTAGCTGCTATCTTCATGAGAAGACCTCTCCCCTTCCCTTTGCTGAGCCACGCCGACAGCCTTGCAGAAGCTTAAATCTGGTGTCAGGGCCCCGAATGCCACCAGCACACCTTCATGAGCCTGACCAGCCTCCCAGGGAGCTTCAACCCACCTCCTCTTCTACAGTCCTGCAGAGCCATTTCCGCTCAGCCCTGGACATTCAGTCCCTGCCTGGACTGCCTTGTGGGAGCATCCAGTTCCAGCTCAGCCACAGGAGCTGTGGATCTGGTGCTGAGCCAGGCACTGGCTTCCTGGCTTGACCCTGGACTGTGTCTGACCTCGCTTACCATCACTAGACCTGATCCTGACCTGCAGATCAACTTTCCCACTTAACCTTGGCCTGTCATGTCACTACAGACTGGTCTGGCAATCCGGACTCTTGCTGACACTGGTCTGTCCGACTCACCTCACTCAGGGCTGTGGGACTGAGAACAGGTCTCCTTTGCTACTGCTTGGATCGCATTCTGTTTGTGTCACTCTTTAACTAAGCTGGAATCCTTACAAGCTAGATACACCTTGCTACAGATGGTGCAGGAATTCCCAGGATTAAACCGACTGTCCTCGCAGACTCCTAGGATGAGTCGACTCTGCGCTGCTATCAAGGACAAGTACCTGCTCATTTTCATACCAGCCTCTTTAAGATGTTTCCCTCAATAAGCAGATATCATGATTGTTGCAGTCAAAAGGCAAAAGATCTCTCCAGAAAGCCAGGATCACTCTCTCCTCTTCAAGCAAGGCAGTTAGAACAGGGTGAGACCTCACCAGTAATCACAGAGAACTGCTACCTTCTAACATTGCAGGTTAGCACACTTTCAACAACAAGCTGGAGAAGGACATTTCTGGTCACTTGACAGACTGAAACATAAGCCTGGCTATGGAAGAAATGCTTCCCCTCTCTATAATCGACTGCCGAAAGTCGTTTGGTTCAGTTTCTGTGGGGACAAATTTAAAATGCTCGTATTGTAAATGGTCCACTTACCAACAAGAGACTAACCTGGCCTCTCTTTGCGAGCTCCCTGGAACAAAGTGATGGTGAATTGATTTTTTTGCTGAAGATCAGAACATCTTGAACTATTCTGCAAAGGCTGAATCTCAGAATGTCAGTCTAAAGTCTCAGGCAAATTCAGAATGGAACAAAGACCAGAACCACACCCTTCTTTCTAGTACCTCCATTTCTCTTCACCCCTTTCCTTTCTTTTTTTCTGATCTGGTGTTCCATTTCTATTCCCACTCTCCAGCTTCTAGTGTCTTCTCCCACCACCGTTAACATGTTGGCTGGGATTTTTGAGGCCTGGAGCCCAATCTTCTCTCCAAGACCATCGTTTGACAAATATTTTAAGTCAGTATAAGCTGCCTTTGATGGTCCCCACCTTCTGCTGGTGTAACTCTTGGTATGATTGCAAGGTTAAGTGCACCAGGAAACCTACTGTGGAAGGCTGATGTGGAAGGCTGGCTTTCATCTGAATCAGTATCCCAGCCTGGTTCAGTTCCCCTGGTCATCACGACGGGACAAAGGAAGGGACAGAACAGGGACATAAGCCACAAAGGTGAGGACAAAGTAAAATGGATTCTTCAGTGCAATGCTGACTTATGCCAACTTAAAGCATCTTAAACTGTCATTTTAATTCAGCTGGCTGATTTTTCAATAGATTTGCTTCTAAAATGTTCAGTTACCTACTCTGAGTCATCCTGCAGCTCCACAAACTCTAACATCAGCAAAATGGAGGCACTGTAGGAGCAATGTCTCTATCAGGTGGAAACACTACATCCCAGAAGAGCAAGAGGCCTGCACTAAACTGTGCAACCATCATCTCTGACCAGCTGTGGATACCTAATGATGGGTGAGATGCAATTTAGCATTGATCACAGAAAATTCTATAGATTACACTTTTACAATGAGGACTCATATTTATTATTACTGATTGAAATAATATATACTATAAAAATATTATATTTCCCTAAAATATACACAACATTTTGATTAATTAATAATTTACTAATTATTATTAAATTTCTTTGGTGAACTAGACTTTGCACTCCTCTAGGAAAGCCACTGTTGGGTAAATAGAGAACGACTCCTGTACAAAATCCTCCTTTGTCCTCAAAGCTGCAGCCTTCTGCAATCACACACTGAACTCCTCTTCAGCAAAAGATCTGTGTAATTCTTCCAGTGGGAGCTGAGGATTCTGGAAAACTCACGTGGAGGTTGACATCAGATCAGCTAATGCTGTCTACAAAATTAGATTCGGAAATTGAGGTAGAATTAAGACTGACTCCAGAAACATTTTATTCTTCATTCATTTGCAAGGAATCAAAGTCTGAGCTTTCTTCACTGTGTTTTAATAAAGTTTCTAAATCAAGGTGAGTTGAAGTAAAATCCTGCTGAGGCAAACTGTACAATTCAAGTGGCTGTAGAGAAATAATGCAGACTTTCCTCTTTTAACAGTAGATTAAAACTGGCAATGACATGCCAAACATTTTCTGTGCTGTGTTTAGCAGTTGGATGTGACTGATCTAGAGAGAGGCTGTAAATTGTAACAGTGAACCTCAGTAACATTTTCACTACTTTCTATGTTCTAATGAAGTTTAGGAAGTATTTTTAAAAGATGCAATGGAGTAGGAAAATGGTTTTTAAGGCAGTGTCTGCAACTGAACACTGCAAACAGAAAAATGGTGAGTACAACAACCATTACCAGCAAAGGCAGAGCTGTTTTAATGGAGACAGTTACAACACTTAACTGTACCATCACTAGAGGGTGCCATACAATTACAGAGTTCCATTTCTGTTCTCAACCAAGATCATGTTTTCATACTCATACAGCAGGAAGTTATACAAATAACAAGGTAACAACATGAACTTCTGCTCTCCTCCTGCACTGAGAGAGGGCTGACTGTGCAGCAGAACTGGAACAGCAAGTTACATCAGTAGAAAATTTAACTACAAAAAAGTGACTATTGTTCTTCTGATTTAGTTTGCTGAACCAATTTAACAAAGAAAAGACCCAGTGTCAGCATGAAGGAATGGTGGGATATGCCTTTCAAGTTGCAGCTTGCTGTAAGATAAGACACCTAATGGAGATGGCCACAGTTCTGTCCCTGCCCAGCTATGCACTTCCACGCCCTGTTTCAGTATCAGTGTTCAAACAATCCTGCAGAGAGGGAGGGAGTTCAGATTGTGTAGGCAGCACTGGCCTCCTTGGTAGGGTAAAGTTTCCTCAGTGTTCTTAAGCAGCTCATCACAAACATCGGTATCAGTGCAAGGGAAGAACTCAGTGTGAGGAGCAACAGGCTCCTCAACAGGGGAAGACCAAATCAAAGCTCTGCTCCCAGGGAACTGCAATGCAAAATGTGACGGGAGAGGGAGGGTTGTTAAGCAGAGCTGACCTTTGTCATGGTCTTCTCCAGGGCTGTGAACTTGATTCCCCTATCACCCACTATACCTACAAACTTGACTTTCACTTTCTGTATTCACACAATTTTTCAAATGACATCTTTGCATACTGTCTAGGAAATAAAGGTCCACTCTTTGCTGACTGAGTCTGACAACGTAACTAACATTTTATAATAAAGAACAAGAGAAGTCTCTCTCAGGTCCCCTCTTAAGACAACAGACCTCATTTTTATGATAGCACACCTGAATGTTGCATGATTGCATATACCACTGACAGGACATCCAAATGCTGAAAATTTTAGCACATCTGCTTTCAAACTATTAGAAACATAAGCAGTCTCACTGTGATCAGACCTGTATCTTTGTCTTTTCCTTAGGGTCTTGAACCTTTCATTGATGCCTTCATTCTACTATGAAAGAAGACACCAGGAGAAGGTGAAAAACTACACTAGCAGTCTTCCAGTGGTCTCTGTAACATTTTTAAGTGGTCTACAATGTAATGAGAAGGTGCCCAGTTTTCTTTCTTTTTAATCTGTCAGATCATATTGTAAGAGAAGTGCAATTCTTGATTTCAACACATTTGTCCAAATGGCTGAAGAAAACTTACGTAACTACAAATGGAAGCAGAAGTGAGCTGGTTATCAGAAACAGGAGATGTCCACTTTCTAACGTACACTAGGTTTTGAGCCAACCAGTGGAAAAATAAAATAATGCTGGATTTTTACTCTAAACATAGAAAGTGAAGGAGATGAACCTCACTTAGCTGCACAAACAGGGTGCATATCTGAAATTCTTTCACACAAAAGATGACCAGTCACCATCATTCAGTCAATAAAACCAGAAAACTAATGTCCCCTTTTATGTAGACACTGTCCTCAGTACCTGAACACCTCAAGCTCTCTCAGGACTGTTACTTCTGTAATCGTTAAGACCGTTGAATGAAGCTCTCTTACCTTCTTCAAGGCAATACTGAGAAACACTTTCAGATTGGTGGAGGCTGCTTTCTGACTGGGGTTACATTTTAAATCTTCACTGGGTCAGATTCTGATAATTATAATGCGTGTAATTTTTCAGAGGCTTGAATTAAGTTGAATGTTTTATTTCAGCTACTCATTAGCAGCAGCTCTTTATGGCTCTAGTTGAAAGGAGACAGTTTCCACTGGCATGTCAGACAGCAGCTTTTCACTGGTATTACTTACTCTGTTGTTTTGTACACATCAGAGTAGAGCCCTGCCTTCTGGTACTTCTTCTTTGGGGGTCGAGGTGCTTTTTTCTCACGCTGGGCTAGAGAAGGCAAAGGCTGCTCAGTGTTTTCAGATTCATGTGGTTTCCCAAGGGCATCATGTGGACTGGGAGGTTCAGCTACTGTCTCAGAAAAACTGGAAGAAAAAGTAAAGATTAAAGATTATCTTATTGTATTTCTTACCATAAATATTATCTTGCCATATTTCCTTATTCCTCTCTATCTGGCCAGCAGAAAAAAAATGTCCATGTTTCTGAATTACTGGATGTCTCTCAGCTCTTTTAAAAATGCAATTCAATGATCACGATCAAGTGGTGGTTAAGAACAATCATAAGAAATGTTCAATCTTTTTATAGTAATGTTACTATTGATTATTACAAAAAGAATGTTGTTTATACTAATAATGTTTATCCCCTGGAGCTTCAGTCGAGTAATTTAGAAGGTGGCTTATGCTATCTGCTTTTGTACTCTAAAAATAGTATGTGGTAAACCTTTTCTTAGCCTTCAGGAGAGCCATACAATACTCCCTTTGAACATGTGGTTCCAGCAACATTCTGTGAATCTAAATGCCTATATTACAAACACAAATAGATGGTTATTTTTTCAGAACTATTCTGAAAATGCATGACTTCTCGAAGAGTCTGATCTGTTTGTATTGATGACTTTGGGGATAAGCATGTGAAGATTAGACCAGAGAGAGATTTCTGGTGTGGCCCTTTACCAGCCAGTGATTCCACAGGTGCACACCTTAACTCCTCCTTGCTGCTTTGGTTTTACTCTTTATTTGCTGTGTATCAACTGATCTCACCTGACATTCTGTGTTCCTTGCAAGTATTTGTTTCTAATGAATATGAGTAACGCTCTTTAAGATTCCCATGACACATGTAGCTCTTACAGTTCCTTATTCCGCACATGATGAAGGAACAATCTTTGCTATGATATCTGATCAGTATACCTGTTACCAACTCATTAAAAACATTCTTCACCAAGACATTCATACAACTTGCTTCACTTGATACACAAGCACAAACCCAACAGCTTTAGATTACCCGAGGTTCCATCCTTTTTTGGGGTGTGTTCAGTAACTTAGGAAGACCATAAGCAAACTTAAAATGACATGTTGGTTCCCTCTAAACTGAACTCCTTAATAACAACAAATGTAACAAGCAGAGCTCATTAGAGTAGGATTCTTTCATGGACTGAAATGTTAGAAAATCAGCAATGACTATACTGAGGGTGCAAAATTGTAAGGAAATTACCTCTTATTGCTCTCCTGTTCATCTTCTGGTAGAGACTTTTGTCGCTTCCTGGCCTGTTCCTCTGAAAGCCACCTCTTTCTCTTCCAGCCTTTTCGGTGATCTGTATTCAAATTCACACTCTGCACTACAGCTTCAATCACGTCTGTGATGGTATCAGGTCCAAGGTGTAAGGGACTGCTGCTTTCTTCTCTTTTATCTAACTCCTGACTGACCAGTCGAGCCGCCTGGAAAGCTTGCATCGAAACAACAGCCTGCATCGGGTATTTCCGGGGCCTACCTGGCCTGCGCTTCACAAAATTATTCCCTGTCCGTGACTGCCTTTGCAGCTTTTTGGCTTTCAAAATTTTATTGACATGGTCAAGATTCTTTTTTGTTGCCAAGATCTTGTTATAATTGCACATTTTCCTAGCTTGTCGCTGCATGGCTTCAACCACACTTCTCTTGAGATGATGTGGGGAATAGCTGTTTGATAGTCTATCTGACAGAAGCGAGATATTATCGCTGCAGGAGCTGCTGGGAATTGCTGGAGCGATGACGCTGTCCTGTTTCCCCAGACCTCTCTCCCTACTGTGGTTTCGAGCAGGACTAGCTGATGGTGGAACAGACACGTTTGCAATGACTGCTTCTAAAGTTTTGTCCAAAGTAGCCTGGCCTTCATGTTGTGCCATGCGCTGCAGCAAGCTGTCCACTGGGTCATCAACAGCAGTTGCCAGCCTTGCTCCCCGTGTAGGTGCTCCAACCACTGAAACACAAACAACCATACACTGAGACAGACTGCAAGTACAATCAAATAAGGTTTGAATTGAAATATATTAGCTGGATAGACTGACAGTCTTTTCTATCCTATAATTGCCTGGAATGTTCAACAAGACATCAATTTCTGCAACACAAGTTCTAATGGGAACGGGATCTAGCGATGCAAGTGGAAAGTCTACATTTTATAACATCTGTTTTAACATACCATTATTTTCTCTTTATTCCCACACAGTCCCCCACTTCTAAGAGCAAAGAGGGCATTCCCTATGTACATACAGTTCTCAAGTTTCTTTCTATTCAACACTAAGAAACCCTCTGTGCACAGAAAATTTAAATACTGAGAAAAAACTGAGCAACATCTTAAATGTTTTTAAACTATTTTTTCTTTTTCGTAGTACTGAAACAACTTTTTCATTGCTCTTGGAGTTTCTTTATCAAAAACACAAACATAATGATGACAGAACTGACTGCAATAAAGAACAGGATTGGATAAAGGTAAGTCAAAATATCCGGACAAATGAGAAAGGCTAATTTACACAGGAAGTAAAATTAGATCTCACTTTTTAAACAAAATGTTATATGCTTTAAAGCTGCAGACTAGTATTTGAAAAAGAGAATTTCCAGGTCAGCCATATAGATTATGCTGTATTAAAATGGCTTTGTTCCAAACTAAGAGCTTCCCAAAGCTGCCCTGCTGGTTCTTAGTGATAACATTTAATTAGAAGAAACCCTGTTCTTTCTGGAATAAAATGGATGCTGTCTTCTCATAAATATATCACAATTGCACATTAGCATTTACAAAACGTTACTGTAATTGCCTCCAATTATTTAGATTAGATCTACTTAAACAAGTAGGTCCTAAGCTGTAGACTGAAGAGCACATACTAGTGTAAAGGTAACTGCTAAAGGGAAGACAACAACGTGTTTTTATAAAAGGGTTTCTATCATTTGACAGGAGGGAGATTAGGCATTAGCCTACAAAGACAAAGCACGCACAGTTTAAAATAAATATTTTCTAGTCCTAGTGCTCACTAGTCCATGTGTGGTACTCTGGAGAAATGTACTCCTCATTAAGATTCCAAAGTCATGAATTCGCAAGTGCCAGTGACAATGTGCTTCAAAGAGGGCACAGTTTAAAGGGGGAAGAATCAGCATAACAAGTTCTAAAAATCCTCCTATGAACGTTCTTCCTACGGGGTGAAAAAGTAACAGAGAAACATACTTGTCAGGTCACTGCTGTAAGCTTAACTCTGATCACTTGGAAAACCTAGCAACGTGAACAACTGTGGAAGAACTGGAAGGATTCACACTTTCAGCTTTCAGTTTTAGATGAAATAATAAAGATAAATTACCCTTTGTTTTCTTATGGTCTTTAAATACACATCAGGATGGAGCTGAGGATTCCTCACAGAAACACCATCTGTTTAGCACAGTGAGCTCTGTAAACAGCTGCAGTATCCAGCAATAACCCAACTACACAACACAACATTTGGATACAGAGTCTAATGGATGTCCTTGAACTACTGTTTCTGTTTGGAAACTGATCCAAAAGGATGGGACAACTGAAGGCTACAATCCCCGAAACAGCTGCAGCCCGGGTCAAGCACGCTTGCAGCCCTTGGTAACAAAGCAGCTCTCTGACAAATGCACTGAAATCCCACATGCATTCCAGATCTACGGAAAATATAACAAAGACGGGTCTTTTCAGCTGCATCATCAGTTCAATGACTTTGAAGTTTATACTTGTGATTAATTTCATTCTTATGCTCTCCTGCACAAAATACGCCTGAACTTTTAAGACCTTCCTATATGCAGACTTACACTGACTGCAGTTGTCCCTTTAAAATGAGCAAATCAAAGAAAGTTAACAAGACAGAGCAGAAAAAAAGAGAACGCTTCTTCACTGCATATGATTTTCTTTAGTATATGCTGAATAAAGTATCTGTTGCAAATATCTGTTTAAGGGGAAGAAGAAATAGCAGCTTTGACACATTCTTCCTATATGGAAATCATAACTAGTTCTGTAAGTACCAATCCTAAGGATGTTTACTAGAAATCTGCAATCAACTTTGGTGCCTAAGGACGTCTGAATTCTGCTAACAGGAATCCTTTCTACAACTGGGCTTCTTATGAAATCAGTCAACATTACGGATTTTCTTGTGTCCAACCATAGGTAAGCTCACATCACGTGTTCCTCAGAGGGACTGCAAACAGGGTCTGTTTTTACTACAGGGCTGACAACTTGCTGGTAAGATACAGGAAACAAACATTTTCAGATCTTCCCTCTGACAATTTGGTTAATGGATTTGACAGTTTTGTAGGTGTGAAAATGTGACAGATAGCAACACACCTGCATTCACACACCATGACTGGACAAGCTTGACCTCCTTACAAAAGAAAGCTCAAAACACATCAGAAGTACCTTTCCCTTCCTTGTGAAGTGAACAAAGATGGGATTTCCTCAAGGAGCAACCTGCACAGTACGTCACCCCACGGCTGTGAAAGCCAGCTCCCTTGCTATCCTGCTGGCATACGTTTGCTCAACTTCACCAAGATTTTGTGCATCTGAGACTTGGTCCTCATTTGACAGAACGGATGAGAATGCTACCAGAGTTCCCACGACCTTCAGTACTTCCATCTCTCTCCTACTATCATTTTTGACCTGCCTAGGGTCATTCATAACTGTATCAGTGATGACTGGGATGAGCTGCTCCATCACCTCAGCAGGATTCTCAGATGCTACAAAGCAAACATAGGAGCACACCCCATCTTGATCCTAACTGTTACCTATCCAAGGGCAGAAAACTGTCTGTCTTCAGAACAGGGCAGAAGTCAAGCTCTTTCCCATGGAGGAATTAATCTATTCATCTAATTCACTGATTAACCACAGTATCACAGACTAAACTGACCTGGTGAGGAACCAAATTCCACCCTGCCATAGCTATGCTGCTGTTTCTACAAGTGCCATCTCAAGTTTCCCTATTCCACAACCCAATTTGTATCTTAAAATATAAGTGGAAAAACTCAGTATCTCCACAAACATATTACTGGTGTTAAAGTTCTCACAGCAACGCTGTCTCAGCAGTCTGTAGTAGCGTAGGTGTTAGCATAGCAATGATCCCAAGAACAAGGCCACCAAATAATACTTGCCTGTAGAAGATGTGCTCTCAGATGTCGATCTCTTTCTGGAAGGGCTGCAGTTTGTGCTCTCTGACTTCTCTGACTGCCTCTGGGAAGGTTTGTCCTGTGTTGGCAAAGTGCCTGAAAAGCAGATCAGGGAAGAGAAAAGCACAAAAAAAATCATTTCAGTCTGGCAGTGCAGCACCCTGTAGATGCTAAATATTCAAACTAAGATTACTCTTTTTTAGCTTTAGGAACATTTGCTTGCTCTGATGCATGTAGGTGGAGAAGGACGGAAACAGACCATCAAGAAGGAATTTCTCACAGGCTAGTGGCACTGGTAGGATAATAAACAACCCAAGAGAAAAAGCCACTTAATATCATCAGAGTATTAGCTTTCACATAAAAAAAGAAAACAAAAATCCATATACCTACTTTCAAATGAACCCCCTAGCTTCACTCCTTGATATTCACAGAACAGTTGAGTTTGGAAAAGACCTCTGCAGATTACTTTGACCAACTGGTCTGCTCAAACCACAGTCAACTAGATCAGGTTGCTCAGGGCCACCACGTTCAGTTGGGTTTTTTCGTTGCCTCCTGTCCTATCACCGGGCACCCCTGAGAACAGCACGGCTCATTCTTGACTCCCTCCCATCAGGCACATGTACGCATTGGTAATGTATCCCTTGCACGTTCCCTTCCTCAGGCTGGACAATCCCAGCTCTCCCAGCCTCTCTGTGTGACAGATGCTCCAATCCCTTAGTCATCTTTGCAGCTTTTCACTGGACTCAGAATCACAGAATCATCAAATGTTGGAAGGGACCCACAAGGATCAACTCCTGTCCCTGCACAGGACAATCCCAACACTCAGCCCATGTCCCTGAGGGCCTTGGCCAAATGCTGCTGGAATCTTGTCAGGCTTGGTGCCATCAGCACCTCCCTGGGGAGCCTGTTCCAGTGCTCCACCACCCTCTGCCTCAAGAACCTTTTCCTTATGGCCAACCTCAACTTGCTCTGGTGCATCTTCCTGCCACTTCCCCTGGTCCTATCATTGGTCACTAGAGAGATCAGTGCCTGCCCTCCTCCTCTCCTTGTGATGAAGTTCTAGACCACGATGAGATCTCCTCTCAGTCTCCTCATGTCCACATCTTTCTTGTACTGAGGAGCCCAGAACTGGACACAGCACTCCAGATGTGGTCTCACCACGGCTGAGTAGAGGGAATAATCATCACCCTTGACCTGCTGGCACTGCTCTTCCTAACGCATCCCAAGACACTGTTCCTCCTAAGTGTCTTCCCAGCCCATTCCACCAGCTAGAGACAGTCCCTCTGAACAGCGGCACAAACATCTGGTGTATCCACCAGTTCTCTCAGCTGCATCACCTGCAGACTTGCTGAGGGCACACTCTGTCCCATCATCCAGGTCATTAGTGATGAGGTTAAATGGTATTGGACCCCACACTGATCCTTGGGGTACACTGGGCCTGGCAGCTCAGATGATTTTCAATCCACCTGGCTTTGTAAAAGCATTTCTCTTCCACTCCTCAGGCAGAACTGCTTCATGTAAGACACTACAAACTGCAGAAAGCTGAAAAGCTAGAAAAAAAATTCTTAGGTATTTCTTTATGTTTGTCTCTTGCTATGTTGATTTTTCCTTTTTAAGATGCTGTCATAAAAAAAAAAAATAAAATTCTGCTTGGGTCATCCATGGCAAGTATGTAAAAACCCCAGGGTCTAAACAAATGAGAGACCATTATCTCCACACAAACCAGTATAAATCATTATTGGATTTTAGGCACCTGCAAAACACGTTTCACTGTATGTGCTGAATGCATAGCGCTTGGTATTATTAAAAAAGAAAAGGAAAAAAATGGGTAGATGTTGGCTTTTCACTACAAGATTTCATTAGGTAGCAGCAGTCACAATTACCATTACTTGAGCTAAAAACATTTTTTAAAAAGCTATAGAAATCTCATGATTATTGAAAGGTTAAGGGAAAAACTGGTAAAATCAACTTGTCTGATAACATGAGGAAAGACCTATTTCTATGTTCTTTCTTACATATACATACTTTCTTACTGTAACTTGTTTTATTTCACTAAAATTTAAACTTTTAGAGAATCCCAATTACTCTTAAAAACAAAGGCTGTGGGATTTGTCAGAATTTCACAGAAAAATCTACAAATTGCAACTGCGAAAACGCTGAGATATTAAAAATTCAGATACTATTATAAAAAACTAGAGTAGGCAAAAATGCATATGCCAGTGTGCAGTGAGAATATGCACGTCACGAAAATCTCCAGACGATAAAATCTAGAACACATACTTAAAACCAGACTTTCATTCCTTCCCTGTGAAATATCGTTCATGATAAATTAGCTTAGTGCTGCATGTCCAGTTCTGATCTCTCTCCTTACTCCAAACAAACGAGAGAGCAGGTCACTGAAGATACACTCTAAATCAAGGCCACCAATTAGCACCCATGCAAATGACCATTAGCTCCAATATGTGAATAAGAGGAAGTAAGGCGTAATCATACATCGCCCAAAGTATAAGGCGATGGCAGAATCCTGGAATGCAACAAACTGATTTACCAGAAAGTCTCGTCTGAGATCTTGTCTTGCCTCAAAGTTTGGATTTTTTTTCCCATGGGTGTTATTAGCTCATGGTGTAACATTTAAGATAGGTTTGATAGATAGAGGAAAAACCAGGATCACTTTTCCAAATATTCTAACTTCTTGACAAGACAGAGGAATAATTTTTTTATTTTATTTTTCTCAAAAACAGCACAATCATAAGGCTGCTCAAGTTGCAAATCATTCTCCTGGTAAAGATTTTCTGATTTTCCTGTATGGCACCCTGATGCAGAATCCCAGACTGGTTTGGGTGGGAAGGGACCTCAAAGCTCATCCAGTCCCAACCCCCCTGCCAGCAGCAGGGACACCTTCCACTAGACCAGGTTGCTCAAAGCCTCATCCAACCTGGCCAAGAACACTTCCAGGGAGGAGCAGACACAGCTTCTCTGGGCAACCTGGGACACTGTCTCACCACCCTCACACCAAACAATTTCTTCCTCACATCTCAGCTCCATTTCCCCTCTGCCAGTTTCAAGCCATCACCCCTTGTCCTGTCACTCCCTGCCCTTGGCCAAAGTCCCTCCCCACCTTCCTGGAGCCCCTTCAGGTACTGGGAGGCCACTAGAAGGTCTCCCCGGAGCCTTCTCTTCTCCAGGCTCAACAGCCCCAACTCTCTCAGCCTGTCCTCACAGCAGAGCTGCTCCAGCCCTCGCATCATCCTGGTGGCCTCCTCTGCACTGGCTCCAGTAGCTCCATGTCCTTGTGCTGTTGGTGGCCCCAGCACTGGAGGCAGCACTGCAGGTGGGGTGTCAGGAGAGCAGAGCAGAGGGGCAGAATCCCCTCCCTCCACCTGCTGCCCACGCTGCCCGGGGTGCAGCCCAAGACACGGTTATTGGCCTCTGGGCTGCGAGTGCACAAGCCATGCAGCGATGGTGCTGGTGGGACCTGAAAGAGGACTTCTGCACTCTCTGTTCCTGCAACACACAGGTAAAAAGGAAGCTGCAGCAGAGCTGTGCGGTGAGACTGCACACAGTTGTGCAGTATTAGAAAGAACAGTCAACTGCTTTTTTATTCCATAAAGAATTTTTCTACTAAGAAACTACAAGACACATTGATTTAATAATGTGTAGATTAACACAAATACCCTGGGACCTCAGAGAAAAAAAAAAGAATTATGCAGCAGGAGTAGCTGTTCTAAGCAGGAATAGGCTATAGGTTATAATAAAAATAAAAAAAAAGTGAGAGGAGTGTGGAGGACTACTTAGTTCTGGCCTGGATCAGCACTAGTGTG